TGCTTCCTTTCCTCTGCCATTATTTCTTCATTGTTGAAGCTCTAGCATCGATATAAACTTGTTCACTATCTACTATGCTGCTCAAGATTTCTATTTGGCAGAGGCAGTGGTCGAAGAGCAAAGGCAGTGGATTGAATCGACACAAAGAATAAGAGAATCTTACCATGGATTAAAGCCGTGGATTGAATTAGGCATGCTATCCATTAAAGCCTTCATGCGTGGAGCCTAGTCAGAGAGCAAAGGCAATGACCTCTTTGCGCCATCATCCTCACTCTTTAGGAGAAGCAGAAGGAGAGTGATTAGAGTTAAGGTTGCAATTTTTTTAATTTTAAGGGGTATTATAGTTTTGTTATAATTTATGTTTAATTGTAAAATAAAATAAAGATAAGTGTTTCCTACAAGTGTTATCTCATATCAAATATAATTTTAAAGTCTCATTTCCACTCCCACTCCCACTCCCACTCCCACTCCCAATCCCAATCTCAATCTCAATCCCTCTAAATTGAGACCTGCTTACCAAACAAGGCTTAGGAGTATAAATTCTAGAGGCCAAAAGAACAAACCTACTTGTGAGCATTGCAAAAAGACAAGTCATACTAAAAAGACTTGTTAGGACATCCAAGGCAAGCCTCCAAATTAGAAACCAAAGAATCCCAAGGGGCGTGGTTATCATGCTAGCTAAGGGAAAAACATACCAAAAAGGTTGTGGTTACTCATTTAGTTGTAAATAAAAGAAAGTGTATATCTTGTGAAATTAAGAAGCTCATTGATTTCAAAGTCTCTCGTACGTAGGGCCAAAATACAGAGCGTGAAGTTTAGCCATATCAAAGGCAATTGCCTGTTAGAGTTAATGAAGGATCTAAGTGTAACAAATTTGGAATAAATACAAGTGTTTGATAAAAGCAAACCAATAATTCATATAACTAACAACCTTGTGTTTTATGAGAGGGTGAAACATATCAAAATTGGTTAGCACTTTGTTAGAGGGAAAAAGTGCTACAAGGAATAATTAGTCTAAAGCACATAAGGACAGATAACCAAGTGCTACGAAAGGTTACTAATTGTAAGGCAAAAGCAAGCTCATGTTGGGCATGCACTGCCATAAATTGTTTAATTGATTGGTGGAATGTAGGGTTGCCTTTGTTCCCCACTCCTAAAAGCTCTAAAATGCATCATCTTGGAATGCCGATCCCAATGTTGCTTCCACACGTGTTTATATATATATATATATATATATATATATTCCTTTTTTAAAAAAAATGTACTTGAAGTTTGAATTTTGTGGACGCTAAGCCTAGTTAGGAAGATGGGAAAAGGTGGAAGTTTGATATAATTATAGCATATAGGAATTATGGCGAGAGACAATTAGATATTAATAGAATGAGGCCTGAGAGAGTTCATTCATGATTTTGTTTCGAACGTGACACATACGATAAGCCGAAGGAGACTAATATAATTATTAGGGTTCTACATGGTGTGGCCCAAGGCGATATGATTCCCTCATCACTAAAGCGAGATTATATCTATAGATACCGTGTTTAAGTAAATATATTATTACAATATATATGTCGAGACTTTACACTTCGTACGCATTTGTAGCATTCATCATATTCGCTGTTTTGCATTCTTATATGTGATCACCAAAGAGCATTGACCTTAATGAAAATGTTTATGGTTTTTTTGAACATAAAATTTTAAGTTTGAGTTCATAAAAATGCAAAAAACACTTTTAAGATAGCTACTCCCAACTGAATTTGATAATGCTCGATTTTGATCAAGTTAGACAGTTATATCAAAAAAAAAATCTACAAGATCTTTTCTTTTTTCTATATTTAAATTTTATTGTTAAAATTTTACTTCTTATTCAAATGACAAATGCCTTGCAGTACTTTTGACCTTTTTTTTTTTAGTAACAAAATAATCCGGTAGTAAATACTACTGATCAATGAACTTAAATTTAAGGTGGTCAAGTTCTAAATAAAAGAAACTTTCTAACTAACTAACTAACGAACAAAAATTAACATGATTGGTAGAAATTTTTATCACTTAAGCAGTTAGTTTAAAGTTCAAATCTCAGCCTTAGTATATATCCCAATTTAGTTAAAAGAAGTTTACATTTGCCCTTAAAACCTCTGGAAAAATAATCTTTACTATCAACAAAATTTATTCCTTGTACTTTAAGCTTGATGTGACTTTTCTATCAACAGGACTTATTTAATATATGTTAGTTCTCTTTTTTTTTATTTTTCAGAGTATTTTTATGATCAACAGTGGTGAGATTAATTTCTCAAAATTTTAGTGCTGTTTGAAGGGTTGTTTTCTCATAAATAATACTCTCCATACATATTTTCAAAAATACCCATTTATAGCTTAACAGAGTGAGCTAAAGCTTGCGGTAAATGCAAAAGCAAAGTGTATGTAAATTGCGTAGATTTAGCAGATAGACATGATGGAAGGCTGCGCAAAGAGTGTTTTGTCCCCCACTCTCAATAGATTCAACACTCTTTAACTCTTTCTCATGTTAATTCCTCCAACTTCTCAGTAAAGTGCACGCACACAGACATGCCCATATGTGGATATGATAGCTTCTTGGTGACACTCAAGCAACACTTCGGTCCACCAAAAGTCTCAATTTTTTTTTTATACAAGCCCACGGGTGTAAAGAAATAATGATCAGATCATATCTAAAATCATAAAATTTTTATAATCAAAGGGTGTGCTGTCAAAGATCGCAATATCAAAATTATCACTTTAAATATTACGAGCTCAACACCCTTTTTTTTTATGAGATTTATAATTTTTTTGATAATTGTTAAGGGTGGATAACTTTTGGAGTGGTTGCATCAAATGAGTGATAGAGTATCCATAAAATATAAGTAAAAGTTAGCTTTGAAGATCTTAACATTTCAACAAATATTAAGACTTCTTAAAATTTTCATGAGCTTAACAGCCATGTTGGAGTGATGAATAAAATTTTTTTAAAAATCCCTTAATCTAGCTACTCTTATTGTCAAAGGTCTCAACTTCAATTAACATTACTTAGGGACCAATGCATATGAATCATTGATAACATCCAATTGATCAAATTTAAAATCCCTTTCAATGAGAAAGACGAAGACCTTCACTTTTCTGTGTCCAATTTCCCTGTCATTACACCGACAATGTCATGGCTTTTGGGAGATTCATTTATTCTTCTGCAGAATTTGTCCTCATCTTTACCGTTCCACAATTCTCGACTTTTTTTGAAATTTTATCAGAAAATGACATTTATAAAATTGTAAGAATTACTTATATTATTTCTACTTTTGAAAATTAGTATAAATGCCATCTTCCATTATAAACTGTGACCATTTGTTTTGTTTGGAAAAAGAAATTTGTAACCTTCTTCACAGCCTGTTCTGCATTTCTGGTCACAGGTGGACCCTACATGTTCTTTGAATTCTTGGCTTCAATTTTATTTATTTATGTGCAAGTTGGGATGTGTGCAGGAACTCGTCCACAGGTTCCAATTACAGGAGGTTTCGAGATGAACTTTAAGCTTTTTTAATATATTTAACTGTAACCCGTAATGTTTTTGTTGAGAACATAAAAGAATTAAAAAAATAAAAAAAAAAAAAGTTGGCTGCATTTGACTGGTCGTTGGTGTTGAGGGGTGACTGGTGAGACGACTTTGAATCCATCAGTGACTGATTACATATAATTGGGTTTTTGGAAAATGAAATGTTGATGGGTTAACTTGACTTCTCCATTCCGTTAGGAGGGTCAACAAACTAAGCCCAAGACGTAAATTCTCCATTAGGTTAGAAGGGTCAACAAATTAAGCCCAAGATGTGCAAGTAAGGAGGCACTATTAACCATTGCATGATCCCACCCAATCAATTTCATCTTTCTTTGGTTACACAAACAAGCTACAAACGGGGTCAAATTTAACAAAATGAACAAGTCCCTTCTAACGTCACAAACTAAAGTTTAAATCCTTAATGAAAGAAGTGTCTATATTTAATATCCAATCATACCTCAAATAGAAGAGTACTTATGAACAATTAAAAAAAAAAAAATATTCCCTTCGTCCCAAATTATAAAACACTTTCAGACAAAATTTTATATACTAATAAACCTCATTAAATACACTTAATAACTTTATCTTTTCAAAACAAAAATATAAACTTTCAAAAATATCCATCATTTAATATATTGAAAAGAGAAAACACGAAAATTAATTATAGAAAGAAAAGGGATAATATTGAAATTAGTGTATTTAATGAAACCTTAATATACTTAAAGTGTTTTATATTTTAAATGGAGAAACTCTTTTAAAAGTGCCCTATAATTTGAGATGGAGGGAGTGCAAAAAGACTTCACACACCTTTCAACCATAAACTGAGGTAAAACTACTTAACTGCATTCGCTGGTAAACCTCCTTCAATCCGAAGTTTTTACTGTATCCCACTTGGTTTCCACACCAAACTTGTTCATTCACTCTCAAATTAAATTAGAATTATATGCATATCACCAGGTACTACTTTCCATGTATGTCAAAAAGAAAAAGATACGTTTCACTTTTCTTTGTCATCCTTCTCCTTTCCCTTTCTGCTTTATCTTTTACAGCAACAGAATTCTTGTTCCGTACCGTAAACCGAATTCTGCGGCCTTCTTATTATCCACTTCAATAAATCATGAACCCAAATGACTAACCCTTGAGTAACAAATCCCATTTTTATGTTCCAATCTAGCTGCACACGTTTTCCCAAATTTTAAGAGTTATAATGGAGTTAAAGGGGGAAAAAAACCAAAGAGAACACTAAAAAATTGTTGAACAAAACCTCTTGCTTAACAATACTTCCAATGATGTAATAGTAGAACATAATGACATCATGCAATCCATTAGTCAACCTCACCTAATGAGATATAACTTGTTATTGCTGAGGGTTCCAAGATTGATTCATTACTTCAACTTTAAAAAAAAAAAAAGAAACAAAAAAAATTACACAAGGGCCAGCTAAACACGTGAAGTAGCTAACGAGATTGAACCCGCTAGCAAAAATGAGTTACTAAACCATAAGGCCAATGGCCATTACTTCAAAAGTGCCCACACAAAAATGAATCCATGATATTGTAGTCATTAAGTATACCAATCTTCTAGGGCTTTTCAAGGTATAACTTAGGTAGAATATAAAAGATGACGCCGAGATCAGATGTATACATACAATCCACTTTCTTTCCTACTCTTATTTTCTTCTATTTTCAACTCTATTAAAACTTTACAACATGCAACAAGATACGCTATACAATCAGGCTTCATCACCAGAACACCATATCTTTTCCTACTTCCTTGACTCGAATATAAATATAATATACACAAAAAGAAATGAGAAAAGTGGGAACAAAAGCGTGTTATGTACATACAAAATTTCCATTAATATTCCAGTTGACCGCTTTCTTGTCCTTCGAATATCAATAGCACTCTCAATCAGCATCCTGAGGAGAAAAATATGCGACATTATTAGCCAGCAATAGAACGTAAACCTCCATCAATGAGTCTGGATCATTGAACTATAATATGGCAAAATACTTTTTTGGTCCTCGAAGATCCATTCAAATTGTGATATGTGGAGGGGAAAACCAAATTGAACCAAAGTTTATCTGTATTTCAATTTTCAATGATAGAATGAGCCAGATGGTTCCTTAATTTTTCTTTCTTTCTTGGTTCATTTGACTCCAGGTGGGATTCAAACCTGAATCCTTTCTCCCATATCAATTAAGTCAAAGCTCATTGGTGGCTGGTTGCTTCCTTTATTATGTATATAGCACAAGTAAATTGAAAGTATTGAGATGAAGCCAGCACTTACTGAAACAATGAACAAGGCCCCACATTTAATGCCAGCATGCCATGCCTTGTTTTGAAGCTGTTTGCAACCACTACTATATCTGCAGAGAATTTCTAGCCAGGAAGTATCCTTCGGGCAGCTCTCCATTGCTGGTTGTTATCATGTTATGTTTTTCTTGGTTGAAGACATGCTAGACAGGAGATCAATCAGCCATTGCGTAACAGGATGCCTTCATAACTTGGTAAAGATTATAAATCCCGGTAATTTCCACTCTTCAACCAGACCGAAAGCAACGTGCCACTGCCTCATAGAGCTGATCTTCTTCGAATGGCTTTGACACATAATCATCCATCCCACACCTATTGCACTCTTCAATTGAAGCTTGAGTTGCATCAGCTGTCATGGCCAATATTGGCATGTGCCAAGGAGCCACATTACCAAACATCTCAGTTGATGCTTCACCATGTGCAATTTTGTCATTGAACTCCCTCTCCAGACAGCGGATTTGTCTGGTCACTTCAAATCTGTCATTCAAAATGATGAGAATATTTGTAAAATTATAGCTTAGTCAGGAATCCAGCTTTGTGAGATCCTATCCAGAAAAGAACATAGAATCATATTTCTGACATATGCTAAGTGGCCACTCAACATACGGAACAGTCTTAGGAATCCTTGTTCCTCAAGCTAAGGCTGCAGATAGATCCTCTCCAGTGAGTGGAGGGGACCCCCCTGGTGGGGGGACCCACATTTACAGAAGGATCTAGTCCTGTCTCTCTCTCATCCAACCTCCCTCCCCCTGGAGGGTATCCACTATCCAGGTCTTCTAAGGCCAGAACGAATACTTATTTATCTTTTCAGCCTCAAACTAGCATTCAAATAGATATTAATTGATAGCTTTATAAGAATCTTGCTCCATGAGATCATACGAAGAAAAGCAAGCAGAAATATCAACTTCCCTAACCAAAAAGGGTCTCTAATGATCTGAGACAAATCACCTATCAACATTAAGTTAAATTACATACTGAAAATCACTGATACCATTTCCAAAAGAAGTGGTTATATTAAGTTTCTAAATACAATTAAGTCACAGATGAATTACATGATATGTTCAATCCCGCAGGTCATTGATTATGTAGATAGCTTTACAGGTCAATAGTGCAGCAGTCAGGCTCAACAGAACAAGTCCCAGTTAAAATATTCTAGCTAGCAGGTATTTGCAAAAGATATCATGTACATGCTGATTTCTTGCATAAAGCTAGTTAAATTATTATGCATTAATATGCATACATGATTTCTCCAGTACAAATGGCAACTACAGTGTCTTGCATTCTGAAAGAATCATCAAAGAGATTAAGAAAAGACATATCAATTACCCATCCATTTCTGGCATTTGGAGATCCATGAAACAAGCATCAAAATTATGCGGTGGCTTAAGTATCTTCAAAGCAGCCCTGCCACCCTCCACACAAGTTACTTTTGCCCCATATCTTCGTAGCATGCCTTCTGCTACTTTTCTGTTCACTGCATTATCGTCAACCACCAAAATATGTTTCTGTCTTAGCAAGTTCCCAAGGTTTGGTTCTTTCCTTCTGTAGTAGGAAATCAAAGAACTAAACCAAAGAGGTTTCATTAGTATATCATCTACAACACCAACAGATTTTAGCTTGCCACGTTCATCAGTACTAAGGTTGTTTGCCAAGAGAAAAATCTTGGGAAAACTTTTCGGGTCTCTTTTGACGTCATTCTTCCTCTGTTTCTCGATGACATACAATAGACTACTTTCTTTATCCAAAACATCCTTGTCTATCAGAATCATTTCCCACTGTTGAGAATTACTGGGAAAACAGAAAAAGTAATATTTAGCAAAATATTTCACAGCAACTAATTCACCAGTACAAAATTTTCAAATATTGACTTATGAAGTTATAAAGCATGTTTCCAGAAACTAAAAACTTTTGTTTACTTGGCAAAACAAAAGTAACCATATCACCTCCTCTGCTCAAAAAAAAATTCCCACTTTTCAAAAAATAAACAATGTTTTTTAGACCACCAAAAAAAATCATAGTATCATACAATCTTCATTTCTCATCTGAAACATGCAACAGTTTGAACATAGTATCTTAATTTATTTTGCAAATTGCTCCTTTCTCCTCTCCAGTGATCATGTGATACAGATAATCTGTATTCTACAATTATATGTTTAGTAAATGACTCATTCACTAAATTCCCTAGTGGTACCTCGCATGGTACTTTGGAACAATAATACTCATTTAATGTGCTTTGGTGGTGCTCGAATGTCAATTATTGTTTTTACAAATTCAGATGACCTTAATATAAATTGAAATGGCAAATGCAATATTACCTCTTGTTGGAAGAACCGGATAGATAAGAGCGTGCTGAGTTAAGACTATAAGCAATATCCACAGACACCCAAATCCTCCGCAGATAATATCTAGTAACTTCAGCACGGATTTTTCTTCTATCCACCACAAGTGCTCTCAAACCTTGAAATTTTGAAACAAAAGGGTTGCACTGCTGCCGCTTTGTATCCACAGATGAGGCTTTTGGTGCCCTGAAAGTTGCACTAAAAGAAAACGCACTGCCAATTCCAGGTTCGCTGACAAATCCAATTTCTCCTCTCATAAGGTCTACTAAGCATTTACTAATGCTCAGTCCTATGCCAGTCCCACCATATGTTCGTGAGGTGGAACTATCAGCTTGCATAAAAGGGGTGAATATGCGGTTTTGTGCATCCAAAGGAATTCCTATACCTGTATCCTCGACTGTCACTAGTAATTGAATCACTCCAGGGTCATTCATCAGATTCATACTGCTTAACTTTTTGAAATTTGCCCAGCTTTTCCATCTATTAACAACAGGAAACCCACTCAATGTATTATAGGTTCTGTCTGACATGTCCTGGAACCCTTGACTCAGAACTACATCCATAATGTGAGGTGGGCTCTTTACTTCATTTGCCAGATGAACCGATACAAATACATGTCCTTTATCATGAGTGAACTGGAATTCAACAGATAAATAAATGAATAGAGATAGTGAACCAATAATTAAAGTGAGATTTTATGGGTGTCAACAAAGTAAGCTGGTGTGCAGCAAAATTAATGAAATGTAATCCCTAAAATCTAAATAGTGAGGGTAACAAGAGGAACAGAGACAAGTTAAATAAAATATCTACAAAAGCCAATGCCAAATAACAGTGAATTAAAAATGTCATAAAGAAACACTCAGAGAAAATGGCATCCCCAAGATAATGGAAAATGCAACATTTCTTCATTTACTCAACTTTGATCTCCCAAGTAAACTTAGTAAATGGTCAAAAATCATGTACAAGAAAACAATTTTTCAATGAGAATAGATTAATTGATCTAATATGTAGGCCAGTGTTCACAGATAATATCCCTGTAAACAGAAAGGGTGAGAAAATTGTCGTCTACATTGGAGAGATGTTTCTGGCAACCAAAATTCGAATAGTAAGCATGAAAGCCCAAAAAATTAAAGTGCAGCATGAAACATAGCAGACCTTAAGTGAATTCCCAACAAGATTAGTTATTATTTGCCGGAATCGTTTAGGATCACCAATGACAACTTCTGGCACCTGGTTGGATACATAAGCAGCCAACTGTACTCACCCAAAAGAATACAGAACCAAGTTTATGTAAGAGTTAATATCCAACCATTACTTGACGAACAAAAATAAGGTAGTCGAAAGCATGAATATTCACCTCAATTCCTTTTTCATTAGATTTTCCAGAGAAAAGTGAAAGAACCTCATCTAGAATAGAACGTGGATCAAGTTCTACAGCTTCAAGTTCAAGCTTTCCTGCCTCAATCTTAGCCTGATCAAGAACCTCATTTATCACTGATATGAGATCCTTACCACTCATGTGAGCAGTCTGAGCATAATCCATCTGGCTTTCATCTAGTTCAGTATCCATCAACATTTGCAGCATACCTGAAAATGATTAGAAAAGTTGAATTTTACTAACGCTCAATGAATTGGGAAGTAGCTAACATAGCATCAAGTTCTTTAATATTTTAAATTACCTAAAACACCATTCATTGGAGTCCTAATCTCATGTGAAACTGTTGCCAGAAACTACAAAAAAGGGAAATCAAAATACAGAGGTCATAGCAGGAATTATAATTATATTTAAGATAGATAAAAGAAAATCCATGTTGCCATCAGCTGAGAAAATCAAATCACAAATCATCTTGTCATCAGCCTCAAAATTATGCTGAAAATGAAAAACCAACTGCCACAGAAATACAATGAACCTGAGATTTTGCTACATCTGCAGCTTCAGCTCGAAACTTGAGCTCCCTCATTTGACGATAGTCATCCTCCACTTTTGCTATTCGACTGATTGCTGCATAAAAAATGTGACCAAGAAGCAAAGTAATAACAAGTACACCAACTGATGCATTGATTGCTGTCCAAGGTAATGGAGGCTTGTGTTTGAACCTGGAAAAGAAATAATGAACAAATAGAAAAACAAATAAACAAAATTCAGCTTATATGAAGCTCTAGGACTAAACATTGTCCCATTGAGTAGGGCGAAAGCAAACCTGCAATGCATCTCATGTTTTCGCATAGGATCCCCAAAATCCAGGTTGCTTATATGTAGTAACCCAGTATCAACAACATCAGTACCATACATTGTGATAGGCACAAATGCATTTGTTGTATCATAAACATTTACAACAATGGTTTGTTTGCTGGCAAGTTGATGCAGGAGCTTGTCCACCAGTGATGGAACGTCATAGGAAGCACCCAAGTACCTAGAAATAGACTAACATATGAACTACACTAGCTTATAAATAAAAATATGAATATTAATTATTAACAATTTGGGGGAAATTCTTGTATAAAATACCCAACAGTAGCTTCAATGCGTTGCTCTGGTGTAGCATTAGGAGGAAAATTAGCATTGTAGACAGCAAATGTAAGGACAACACCCAGGTGATTGGACTTCAGTAGTTTGAAAGGAGATGTTAGAACTCCCTTTCCAGTTGCTCTTGCTCGCAAGATATTCTCACGGTCTTCCTGTATAACAGTAACAAACTAAACAGATAGACAACAACACAATCAAACAATTTAATTCACAATTCTATACATAATTGTTCCTTATTGTCTCTTTTCAATCTATGACAAGCATGAATTTATACGAACCAAGAAGACCTGATAATCAGTACGCATTAAAAAAATGAATATTTCTACCGTTATTTTACTGTGTTCATTAAAATCTATGTTAAGCAACAAATTTTTAAACTGTCTATGCATGTATATGCACAAGAGACTCTAGTTACATCCACACAGGGAAATTCCAGTGCTTGCAGTCATCCTATTGCTGCCAAAATGTGAAATTTCATTATTAATTCATTATTATTTCATCCCACCATTTAACTTTTTCCTTTTAAAGATAAATATGTAACATAAAGCTTAAGGTATAATTTATTTTGCAAGTTCAGCCCCATATAATAAAAACAAGATTAATAGTAATAGTAATAGTAAATGATTAAAAATTTCAATGCTGCCAAATTGAATAGAGAAAAATTAAAGACAAAAGAGTAAAGGATCTATCTGTGAGATAACTAAACACAAGTTTTCCTCCTCTTATGAGAAATTAATAGTAAGAACATTCATAGAAACGTGAAATAAAGTTTCAGATGGTTGCCTGAGTTCTGCTTAAAGTAAGGAAATTAAACAAGGGTAACAAGGTGAGAACGCCAAACCTTTCCAGACATCATGTCAATCGATACAATATGGGAAACAGTTTCTTGAGCAAATATCACAGGAGCATATTCATCTTGAATGGGGGCAGGATTGAGATTTTCCGGAATACAATCTTGGACAAGTGTTTCATTCTCAGTTTCCATTTTCTTAATTGTCCACCCATGCTGCTTTTCAAAATGCTCCCTATCAGAGTGGAGAACTTTCATAGCATAAGCAACACCACTTGTTAGTGGCCTCTCAAATGCTGTTCTCTCCGTATATTCACCAAAAGTTTTCTACAGAAGAATATAAGAAGCCTCAAGATTAACTTTCCTTCTCTTTGTATTTTTTCTTATTTTGAATTCATGTCAAGATTACAACAAGAAAAGTAACTAAGAAGTGGAGAGAAGAAAAAAAATTTAACGTCTAGGTGACATGGTCTGTGGACTAACAAGACAGAGGGGTCAGCTATGTTTTAGGCAACTAGGAATGAGTTTGAACAAATTCCTTAATAACATCCACAATTCCACTTGTTCATTAATGCTCAAACATCAAATGCTGACTATTTTCCTGACTTTACAAATAAATAATCTCCATATGCCCCTTTTCTTATGTGTTCATCATCTTGAGCCAACATACACCCTACCCTCCAGTAGCTATACCATAGCGATGATAGGAACGGTAATAAAGGCTCCTGTGGAGTTAGAGGCACACACTAGAATCGGACCAATTAGTTGACCGTTGCTTCTTTGATTTTTAAAGCTTTTTGACAGGATTCATCTCCACCACCACCCTCCTCCACAAAACAAAGCCCTATATATATTGTTACATAAAAAATTATTTTATTAATTATTAGCTTATTGAAAATCTACATCATGAAAATTATCTCAAGTTATTAAAAAATTAACTTAGTATGTATTTTTTTATTAGTTATTTTCGTAAAACTAATATATGTATATATACTTTTTATTTTTCAAAATTTCTATATGATTATACGTAATTAATATTTAATGAACTTTTTCAATTTATAAAATTATTTTAAAAATTCAATAATGAATATTAAAAAATCATACATTAAAATAATAAAGCATATATATAGTTCCTTAAAAGCGACAAAAAAAGAACCCACACAATTTTCGTTTTCAATCTGTCCCTACCTATGACATAACCCGAAACCTTCCCATTCACGATCATGTTCATACTTTTCAGCTTCCTTCTTTTCTCTTCCTGTCACATTCCCTTCGTTATAATTTTGTGTGTTAAATTGCCTCCAAAAGAGAAAGGATATTCAATGCCATTCCACAAGATTTACGGATGAGTGAGAATCACTTTTCCCTCCTCTCACACAAACTATCCCATATTGTTCGTTGTTTAAGACTGCAAAGACACATACATCCACCACAGCTAAATGGGGAGGAGCACATAGAATTGGGTAAGAACTGACATTTAACCATTTCAATGTGCCTCAAGAACCAAATGGGGAGGAGTACACTACCTGATCAATAGCAGATGGATGTTTACTATGGTGAAAGGTGGACACAAGAATAGCCAAAGCGTGAACGTGGTTCATGCTCACATTGAACTGATCCTGCAGCATGCGAGCTCGCTCATCACACATATTAATAAGCATTTCTTCTCTCCTCAGCATAATATCGTTATTCAGGTGCCAGAACAACCAAATGGACACAACTATTCCAAGTAACACAAATGTAACTAAAAACTTTTTCCTCCACCTCCCAGCACCCTTTGAATTTTGCCCAGCAGAATGTTGCAATGCTTTGGGCTGTGAAACCAGCTCCTGATTCCAAAATAAAGGAAAGCCAGCCAATCTGCAACAAATTGTAATTCCAACAAGAATCCACGAGCATCCTATAGACAAAGTCAGATAACCTTGAATTGCAGCTAACTCCAATACCCATGACTGCACAATGTCCTGTAAAGCCAGAAGTATGTTCATTATATTATAGAATGAAGACACAGTTGTTTCAACATGAACAAGAAAGAAATGCTAAATCTATTATAACAAAAAATGAGTGCTAGAATGCAACATTTGATGGATGTACAAATTGTACCATGGTATAACCACATTTAACAGAGTAATCCATTATTTGGAACACCCATAACAAAAGCTAACCTCATAAAACCCATACATGTGTGTCTACAAAGGAATCAGATTTGTTAAGGTTAAACTCAAACGACATGCGATTGTTTTTTGTTATACTACTCTGTCTTTTATCATGCTTCAAATTCTTCCATTTATTCTACCAATTTTGCCAATAACACAAGAATGTATTATGCCGCTTATTGAGCTAGAAAGAAAGTCACATTGCTGGTCAGGCAATTCTACAGATTCATCTGACCTTTTGTGTATTAAAAGGTACCAATGGATCCATATAACACATGATTAACAATACCATGCCTCACCTTGAGTCAGCAAACTAGTGAACTTTACAAGGAATAATAAGCAACAGTGCTAAGGCTCAATAGCCATGCTTTTGGGACTCCATCCAGTAACACATGACACATACTCTTCAATGGGTTTAGTAATAGGAAATGGGAATAATAATTAATGATAGTTTATAGGCACAAGCTATTTGACAAAGAAGCAGCAGTTTAAACTATGGAACTTCTGGTTATGACAGATCACACTCAGCTATAGCTAAGAGTTTACCTTTCCAAGAAACAAATTATTGATCAAATTGGACATGATAGCAGAGTATGAGGCCAATGATACAGTTTTTTCCACTAGCAGTAATGATTTCAGGTTTGTCTGAACAGAATCATTGAGAACTGGGCATTGTTCTATAAGTTCAACTTGGCCTGGGACACTTGTATGCTCCTTTTGAAACTCCTTATTCTCTGAAAATACCATCTGCAGAGTACTGCCAAGGTCACTGCTTAACAGCTTTTGTACTCTTCTTTCGCCAATACATTGGGATAACATCTGCATTATAGACTAGTGAAATAGAGGGCGGGAAAAGAAAGCATCACTTTTTTATGCTAATCACATGCATCTCTAAAACGAAGCACCAATTGCTCGTAAGACATCAAGTGAGAGAATATCATGGAACTTTCAGATATTAAAGTGTTTCATTTTGTTTTTTACGGGGGAGGGGGGAACAATTGAAGTGTTTAATATATAAGTTAATCCTAGGAAAAATTGTGTGGCCCTAGTGGGTTTCTAGATTTCCCAAGTACTCGGAAACTCCTAATAGTAAATTTAAGCTCGAAATAGACAAGTCATCATCCCTTAATTATTCAACACATTTTGTACTGCATATCATTGTTAAAACTTTTCATGTTCCTTATATCCAGCCGTGTTTGAAGTGGTTTTCAGAAGTACTGGCAATTAAATTCCTCACATACAAAACATCACAAACCATCATACGGAAGGACGATGTATACCCTTGCATTCCAATTGAATTAATCTAACAATAGGCTTCTACCGGAAGAACAGTCAGTATGGTAGAAGCCGACTAATCAGACTCTTATCAATAGACCTCGCGTTAAGGCACAGAATCGCATGCACTTATCAAAGAAGTGACCATGGTGCATCTCCCCATTTTGGTATATTGTCAGCCATTGTGTTTGGGGGTGCACGCTCCACTACTCCCAACAATGGAAGCATATCAATTCGATGCAGCGGAGCATCAAGGCGTCTATTTCTACTGGCTATTTTTCACTTTGTCTGGTGCCTCTGTGATTGGCATCACCGATGGAGACCTTGTCCGTACGTAGCAGACGATAGGATTGCAAATCCTTCCCCTAGCGCCTCATACTACTTATTTATACACAAAACAACATAACAATTCTTCATTGGAGAAGAAGCAAAGGAATTACGAAAGAAGAGCAATGAACGGAGCCGCTAGAAAGAAGTTAAGTTAGGATCGGCATCTCCCAAAACAGCGTCTTTTTGAGGAGATGCACGGCGTGCAAGTGCACGCAATCCAGACGCATTAAGAAATGAATCGAGAAAATGGAGAGAGAAGCGGAAAGTGCAGTTTCTTGAAGAAAGGAGGTAAAAATGCATAAACATAGTACCTGATCTGATGCAGAGAACAAGGAAACGAAAGCACGAAGTTGCTTTTTGCTGATATTGTGACGTTGTAGCAAGATTCGAGCTCTCTCTTCACAATCACCCAGCCTTTTGTCCTTCCTCAACATCCATGAGTCACTGTGAGAACTGACGAAGAAGAACCACACAATTCCCACCGCAACAACACCAAGAAAAACCCACACGAAAAAGGGCTTCTTCTTCTTGCATTTCCTGAGCGAAGAATTAGACTCATGCAAGGCTTCATTTGACTTGCCCGACTTGGAACTCGGTGGCATCCTGCCATTTAACCCAGAGAGCTTCCGATTCACAGACATTCTGGCAAAATTGACCCACTTAAAGGCTTAGTATGAGCCTCGGCTCAACCAAAACAAACATACAATCCAACTTGCAGGCGAAAATTGGCGGAAACCTAACAGTAATTTGGGTAAGCCAGAGGGAAAAACTCATAAAGTTGAATAAAGTCAAACCAAAAGGGCTAAGAATTGCATTAAACCAAGTGGTCCAGCGTCTATTATCGCTCTGCGTGAAGCTTCAAGAGCCATAAAAGACCTGGAATAGCACCATGGAGTAATTATCACCCTGAATCGAACACAGTTGTAAAATATTTTGGCAAGTTGTGAGAGAGAGAGAATTATGATATGAATGAGATAAGAAAAATTTGTTGGTTTTCTGAAACTGGCTGTTTCTGTCACTCAGAGCCCTGAACGGCAAAAAGAAGCATCAAGGAGCGGAACAGTTGAGTCCAGTCGAGTCTCTCATACACAGAGAGAAAACCCATCCATCATGAACCTGGCCTCTTCTCTTTAAATTAATTAAGTTAAATTTTATTTAAAAGAATACATTTTCCCGTCGAAAAAATAAAAATAAATCATTTTTCATCATCTATCGCTTTTCAAATGAAACACTGGACTGACAAAGCATAGCCATTGATTGATTTTCATGAAATTGAAGTGATATTTCTCCGAGTTCCAGCTGGGTGGTGCTGTATTAGCTAATTAGAAGATGAAATTCATCATTGTCTCATCATCTTGGTGGGGATGGTTCAACAAAAATGAAAAACCTCACCTTTGTAAACTAAAACATGACACCAAAAGAGAGAGAGAGAGAGAGAGAGAGTATTCCATAATTTAATACGGATCATTATATAGAGAGATGATATATTAATTAATAAAGATGGCATATTAATTAATAACTTGTTTTGAAGTGGGATTAAGGATTTGTTGGGTGTATTAATTGACGTTGAATTTCTGTTGTTGGGTTATTACTTATTACGATTCATGTCGGGCGAGAGTTGAAAAAGACCAGACCATACTGTTTAAAGATGGGATAGTGAGGTGTTGTACACTGCAGAATACGGAAACTCTCTCTCTCTTTCTCTCTCTCTCTCTCTCTCAGAGACTCAGACAGGTTCCAGCGAAACCGTGAGAGAGAAATCAAGTCAGACACTGGGACAGCAAGAAAGAGAAACTTTGAGAGGAGAATTCCAACCATGAGCTTTGGACAAGATTTATTTAAATTAAAAGTTTTTAAATTTTTAAAATTTTATTACAATTTAAAATATTAATTTAATATTAAATTAAAAAAAAACTGTCCTACTGTATTTATTTATTTATTTATAAAATATTATTAATTATCCTAATTTATTTATTCATTTTTTTAAAAACAAAATCAAGTAAAAAATCTAACAATAAACAAATGAAGTAGAGCAATAAATAAATAAAGTATAATAATGGATAATTGTTTGCAAGTAAATAAACCATATGCAATATAGGAACCAACAAATTATCTTAAAATGAATTAAATATTTAAAATGGAAACAAGTTAAGTAAGCAATGAATAATATTTAATAAGTAAATTAACAAGTGAAATAAAATAATAAATAAATAAAATAAAGAATTCTTATATTAATTTAAATGATGGTAATTTCTCATTCCTCTCATATATTTAATATCAAATTAGTACCTCAAAACTGTAGTGAAATTTTAAAAATTTAAAGGTTGTGAATTTAAATAAGTATGGTCCAAAAGTCTTTATTAAAATTTTTTTAATTTCAAAAGAACAAAATTAGAGAAATAAGATAGACTTGAGATTTTCAACACCAGAATGAATATACAATTTTTTAAAAAATATTTTATATTTTTTAATGAAGGGAATATTAATTTTCTCATACAAGGCTTTTTTTTTTTTACCAATTCTAAAACATATCCTAATGGAGATGAACATTAATTGACAATTAACAAGTAGTCAAAAAAGTCGAAGATCTGTAAAATTAACATACTGTGGAAGATATATTAATAGAAATTGTAAGACTTGCAAACAATGGAATTTATCTTGGAAAATGGAAAGACTTCAAATTCATATTTTTAATTTTAAGAGCCAGATAGTGTTTTTATCAATTTAAATTAAAGAAATTAAATAGTTCATACTTACATATAGTAATCAAGATAAAATTTAAAGTTAAATAATTGTGAAAAGTTGGATTGGATGATTTAGGAATTGTTTGCCACTATTTTTATTTTATTATTTTAAGAACTGATATTTTGTAAAACATATTTTGAGAATAAAAAATAATAAAAATAATTATTTTTTCATTCTCCCTTATTCTCAAAATAATAATATCAAAACACCTAAACGTTATTTTTATTTTTCTATTCTTTAAAATAATATTTTATTTTTATTTTTTAAAATACTTTTTAAAATTACCAAATAAAATTTTTTATTCTTTTATTTTAAAAAATAAAAAATTATGTTTAAAATAAATTGTCAAACAGACCCTTACTTCTTAGTCAAACTTAGTGATGCTTATTAAAAGACGATACCTATGATGTGTGAGGTATGCGTAGCATATTCCTCTGTGAGGACCTCGTGACAATAATTTAGAGAAAAATTATCTTGACTGATTGAGGCATCAAATATAATTAATGTGGGGGCTCTATAACTTACCCACTCACATAATTTATTGTATCTATTTATAAACGATATATTGGGTGGGCCCTAACAAAAAATTAAAAATGAGCCCCAAGCATGACGTGAACATCCACAGCTCAAACCAAAAACCAAAAAAAACCAACCAATAGAGGGAAAAAAATTGCAACTTCATACGATTCTCAAGAGAAAAAAAAAAGTGGCAAATTCAACCGAAAATATGGCTTTTTGGGGGGAAAAAAAGGGAAAGAAACAGCCCACTATTAGTATTAGAAATAGTCAAATGCCTCAAAAAAAAATAGATTTAACTTGTTTAAATTAAATTAAATTAAATTAGTACATACTCTCTCCATTCAAAAGTGTAAAACATTTTTTAAGAGATTGCATATTCAAAAATATATGACATTTTTAGTCTTTTAAGATGTAATGATTACCTTTTTTTTAAGTACTCATGTTAAATAAATTATTTATATTTATTATAAAATAAAATATCATATTAAAAAAGAATAAATGTAAAAATATAAGGTTAGTTTAAAAATAAATAACTACTTTATTGAAGTGAGATTTGATTAAAAATATTTTATATTTTTTAATAAAGGAAGTATGTTTTATATTTTATTCAAACTGTCTTTTGAAATGAATCAAATGGATGTTAAATTTAATCTAGGTTTAATTTAATGACAATTTTATACTTACTGCCTTCAAACAAAAGGGATATAAATGACATAAAAAAAGAAATAATAAATTGAATTCAAATGATTTGGATCTATTTCAAAAGAACATGTCGAACAAAAAATTTAAATCAAGTAGTTAGGGAAGGACAATGGCATGGGAAAAATTAAATGAGAAACTTGTATGAAAAGCACAACTTGTTTGACCATCATTACATGGGCATGATTATAATATTTTGGGGTCATCTTTATTTATGGCTATATTCTTTTGGTGTTATGCAAACACACAAAAACAAAAGAGTCCTTCTGTAATATAGACATTAATTATATAATATCTTATATTAATATTAATGGTCAATCATCATTGTAAGATGGGGATCAAGGCTTTGCCTAGCATGCTAATCATTATTTATTATCAATCAAAAAGGAATCTTCGTGTATATGTGTTGTCTTGTAATGCAAAACCCTTTCTTATGCATGGTTTCAATCTTGTGTTTGATTTTTTTTATTTTAATTTTTTACGTATTTTATTTTAAAAACTTATTATTTTAGAGAGACTAAATAAACACTTTGTCAAATGTTGCTTAAATTTCAAAGATATCTACTTTCTTTTTTGAAATTCTTAACTTTGTCCAATTTTTATTTTTTTCATTAAAATACCCTTCACTAAAGTTAGTGATAAAATTGTATTTGGATTAGTCACTGATATTTTAGTTAATTTAAAACTCAAAAAAAATATTGCCAATTTTACATTTTCATTAAAATACCCTTCACTTAAATAGTGCTAACAAAAAATTGTTTCATATATATGCATACACTTTTTTCTTTAAATACTTAACTTAATTTTTCATTAAAGTATGCTGCATTACAATTACAAATAAACTTGAATTTGGATTAGTCACTTTTGTTTTAGTTAAGAAAATTAAACTCAACAAAAATTTATTGCAAATTTTAACTTTTATTTGCTGAAAGATTTTTTTTTTATTTTGGCGAAAAACTCATGTTTGGTACATGCATTGAAATAATAAGTATAAAATAAGCAAATTATAAATTGTAAAAAATAAGAGTTAATTTTTACTGTGTAAGAACAAGATTAATTATATTTTAAATATGAATATGTTAATGTAGCAATGATCAAGGTCTATAAAATATGAAACCTTTCATTGTCAATGTACCAAAGTGCTGGCTTTTATCATTGGAGTGATGGATACCCATTTTATGTGTGGTCAATGTTGGTAAGATGTTTCGATCACTGTTTTCTTCATTATGCAATATGCATACGCGTCCACACACAACAGCATAATTTTTGCTTTCTCCTATTAAAAATATATGACTTTTCCTTTTCGGTAAAATGTTAAAAAATATATGAGATTTTGGATTTTTTTAAAGTGCAATTAATGAAATTTTTTTAAAAAAAATTCTTGATTAAAAATATAATCAATAATTATTTCCAATTTAGACACCTTATTAAATAAGGATAAACATAGAATTGTTGGAAATATGATTCAGTTAAAAATATATAATTTTTTTTTGGAAATATAAACATCTTATATCTAAATCTGATTTTAAATTTGCACCTAAATATTCTCTAACTAATTTTTTTTGTTTGAAAACTATATATTTAAGTTGATGGAGTGTGTTCTATTAAAAAAAATTTAAATTTTTTATTTAAGTGTACGGTGACTTTTTTTTTTTGGTAAGCTCATATATATTTCAAAAAATTTAAAAAAAATGTAAGCCATATATATATTTTAAATATATACTGTACGTAAAATATTCCGACTTTTATTATGATAAATATTTTAATTATTAAACTTAATCATTATTTTTATGAAGTTAATCAAGGTCAAGTTATTGCGTTTTTAATTTATTATATAATCTTGAAATTCAATTGTACTTTCACTACATATAATTATAGTAAAGGTGTAAATTATCAATAAAAGTTGAATTTAGGGAAATGAACAAGCCTCTCACAATATAACAAATTGAAATTTAAATTCTAATTAAAAATATGTTTATATTAAATGTCTGACTCTATTTTAAATAACAAATTGAAATTTAAATTCAAATTAAAAATATGTTTATATTAAATGTCTGACTCTATTTTAAATGAGATTGCACACCTTTAGATAATAAAAAACAAAGATGCAATCGATCATTCCTCCCAATCTTGTGAGGATAAATATTATATTAGTAATAAAAAAAATTATTATATATTTTATTTGAGCGATTGTGATGAGAAATCTTCTTTGTGCTTTTTAAGAATAAGAAGAGAACTATTCTTTGGGTTCTATTTATAGCACACAAAAAATATATATTTTAATTCTTTTTATGATACACATCAATAATTATTTTATCT